GTATTAAACGCGGTAAAGTTTTATTTTTCATCAAACAACAATAACCGAGCTCCGCGGTCGCGGCTCCCTCGTTGTTTATTTAAGAGTGCAGCGAGATTCCTTCGGAAACGCTCTCCGCCGCGGGCGCTCTCTCTAACTACGCAAATTGAAGAGAAACAACGGACCATACTTTGTATCCCCTCCGTCTATGGGTCGATAATTTCTTTCAACGATATTCCCACGCTAACAAATGTACGTACCGAGCTTATTTGGGACGGAATGATCGTATCAGAAAGAACAGGTTCATACCCTCGCTACGGCGAAACACTTTTCGTCCATTCTACAATTTTTTAAATATTCAGAGATCACCTATTCTACTACTACTTAAATTACTTTAACGGCAGTAGATATTTAACCGACTTCAAAAAGATGGAGGTTATCAATGTTGTAAGAAATAGAAACGATAACTGATTTTTTAAAAAGAACTTATTGGCCAGTATAATTGTAAGTAACCGACACAGTCATTATTAATTCTGGTATAGCTACAGCACGCTACAATGACTGACGATAAACTGAACGAACATGATGAGTGCTACACGTTTTATGGCCCGTTGCAGTGTTGCCATTCGATATTTCGATTTATTTCTAACACGGCCTCTCCTGACGGGGCCGTCCCCGAAGCCTTTAGCAGGACCTCGCAGACGAACCGGCAACTCCCTCTACGTGCAGCGTAACTTAGTCCTCTTTGCTCTCAATTTAGCAAAAACAATTTAACGCCATACACAAGAGTTCTCAGTCTTTACACAGGTCTGTTCCAACCGAAAACCCTGCACACATTTGCGTGCGCACAGAGGATTTACATCAGTCTCTTGTAGGTCACCCCGGATAACTAGTTAAATCCCACAGTCGACATTAAGTCTGCCGCTTGACCAATTTAAATGTAAAATTAAAAGTCAACTTATGGTTAAAGTATATTATACCATTGCGGAATATCTCGACGACGCCAATGTGTGGAGTTAATACTGTTGATACTCACTTAGGCTAGAATAAGACTTTATACCTGTATACTATAACATAAACTGATATTTTTGAAAAAGAGCAACTGTTGAGTTTCTTGCCGGCCTCTTCTAAACAGAAACTGCTTTCCGAACCGGTGGTACCTTACGAACCTATATACATAATTTTTGATGTAATATTTGACGATTCATAAGAGCGCGCAAGCGTCTATTTGAATAAATATATTTTTGATTTTGATTTTTATACACAAATATTCAAATCAATAGGCTTTACACGGGTCTTCTGTTCCAACGCAACCGGATACGCACACAGGATTTACACCAGTCTCTTGTAGGTCACCCCAGATACCTATACTTAAGGGTCGGATTGAAACAGGTCTGTTGCCAGCGGCGCTACTAGCTCACCCCGATTCCTTCCCAACAGTGTCAGGGTCAACCCAATACCATGTCTGTTCCACTGAACACACAACAGTTTACTTAGCCAAGCTCAATAAAAATGCTAGGTTGGTACATAATCTGGCTGAAGAATGGAGAATATGTAGTATGTAAGCAAATAAAGAAAACAGTGCTTAAAGCGTCTATTTTATAGGCGCTCGGTCGAAACTGACCTTAACTTATAAGCCTACCCAATTATGCAGCTTCGATATTAAAGAACGTACTCACTAAAACTGTCGTTGCACTTAACTTAAACATTTTATCACTATTTGTTTTAAGAGGGTAGGCAACCAAAGAAAATGTCGCAATTTGTTTGAACAGCCAAAAACACTTCATATCACGATCAATGGGCTAAGATAAGCGAGTATTCGAATCCCACTTCTGATGTTAGAAATAGAAACGATAAATGATTTTTTAAAAAGAACTTATTGGCCAGTTTAATTCTAAGTAACCGACACAATCGTTATTAATTCGGGTATAGCTTCAGCACGCTACATCGCCTGACGATAAACTGAACGAACATGATAATAATTTTGGCTGGATGAGCCAATGTTTGCCTTAGGGGCCTTCACAGATCCGACGCACTTGGGGTGGCCTCCCGCACGGGGCGCCTAGCCTGGACCTCAGCGTATTATTACGAAAACGAACATGATAAGCCCAGCTCGTTTTATAGCCCGTTGTAGTGTTGCCATTCGATATTTCTATAAATATATAAATATCCGAAATGTTTATATATTTTTAGGCATATCTCTGTCTATATAGAGACGGATTTGCAAAATTCTTTTTTTTTTGTTCCAAAGGGGTTTGTTCCGAAATGATCCCATTTGAATTTCATATAGATCTGATGATGAGTTTCGGAGACAGACAATGGAACTCTTCAAAAACTGACAGCAAATCTCACTCTAATTATAATATATACATTCGAAATTGTTAAGCAAAAATGTATTTAATACAACTGAAAACGCGAGTACAGACTCCAAAACTTTGTTTGAGGTTAAGTTATAGTTAGATTTTCAATATTGGATTATATTATATTTGTATTATTATAAACTTTTAGTGCTACAAATGTTTAAAGTCGGTTACTTTTTTAAATCTAGTTTTCACAGACCAGCGTGAAGTAGGAGTATAATACTGGTGTGTGTGGTAACTTCTCAGCTTCTCGTGGAGTTCTTTCTCAACGTACCTGAGAAATATATCTCTCTGCAAGCCCACATTAGAGACCTACTCGAATAGTTTTATTCTGGTTTTCAATATCGTCAACAAAAACTATTAAGGTTCATGAAATACAGCCCGGTGACAGACGGACACGCAGACAAACAAATAGACAGACAGACAGACAGACAGAAGTCTTAGTAATAGGGTCCCGTTTTATCCTTTGGGTACGGAACCCTTAAAATTTAAGTGATACACTAACATCGATACGCGATGACGTCGAGATTTCATCACGGTGACGATATCCACCGCTATGTTTAGAGGTTAGTGCATCTAATTTACCGATAATAGGGCGTATAATTATTTTCCCTTAAATTAATTTATTTTTCTTTTGTTTTTATATTACCAGTTTCTTATGTACAGATTTTGTTTGGTTTTCTGCAGTCTAGTGTGTATTATTTTAATTATTTTTATTTTTTGTCAATTTTTTTGTTGTGTGCGTCCTTTTGTGGCAAATAAATTTATTTTCTTTCTTTCTTTCTTTCTTTCATCTGGCGAACAATATTTAGAAAATAATTTATCCACACATTTTAAGTTTAATTTTAAATGCTCAAGACTATATAATAAGTAAATTAATTATAAATATAGTAACATGGTAAATGAAACACCATTTAGACATACACCATTTATTAATGTTACCATTATGAAGTAATACATATATATCATCAGTGAATACGTTGTCATGGCAACGGACTTAAGGTCTTGACACAGAACATGCAACTCCTGACTATATCTAATTACTCTATTACATTGAGACGTTGAATTATACGATACTTGAAACATTCACTTATTGAGTTAATTTAATATTACATTGGCATTTAACACCGGTAATTAAAAATTGTATCAACAATTTATGTTGCTGAAATAACGGAGAGAACTTCGAAAACAAATAATAATGACGTAATCACTCTGGGAAAAAATACTTTTTTTAACGAACAAATAGACTACATTTGAATACAGTGAATGTCTCACAATAGAAAACAAAATGACACAGACTATATAATATAAAGTGACATTTGGGCTGAGTGACAACACAAAAGGGCGCCAAACCGTCGCCATATTTAACTGCATCGTACGTAGTGACAAATTTTATAACCCATTACGTCATTTACTTTTCATTATTACCGTTTTAATTTGTCTTCAGACTAAATTAAAAGTGGACACCTATGTACTTATTTTACCATTATATTATTTTCACAGACTAACATGACTGTCGAAATGAAATTTTGAAGTGTTTTGTGTCGTCTTCTTTAGCTTGCTTACGTCCACAACAAACGCACTCACCGTCACAAGCGCACAAAAATCCCATCAAATTAAAGAAGTGCCGTTTAATTTTCAAACCCCAGTCTTGCACACAAACACACAACGCGAGTAAATATATAAATATATATGGAAGAACTCGTTTCCCATCCTGTCAGATTTCTTATATGGATATTCGGATTCAATATATAACAAGAAAAGTATATTTACTTATAAATCACACGTTCAATTGCCAATATTCAAAATTGTCATACTGATGTGTTCGTTTCATGGCACAACTTTGATTGTTCAAGTCAAGGGAGGGTAGAGAAAACGAGCTCCGGAGTAACATAAACTACATATCAGAGTATACTTAATACATACCGCTAACATAGAAATTCAGAAACATTTTCGTCACGTCCTGTCGATACACTCAATTAGAAAGCGAATATCTTATACGTCTAACATTTAGATTTCCTTTAAGTTTTACGCTGTTACTTGCCTCTCGCTTAAAGTTGAGAACGTGACGTCTCGTTCGTTATCGTTGAGTCGATTTCTTTTTTTTTTTTACCGCTTACAGATGTTATCCATTAAGGCTACACTCGACGGCCACCAGAGTGCTTTGAAGAGCCATCTTTTGCTCCTACTACGCAACGCAAACAGAGAGACGTTAGGCCATACGCGGGGACAATATTCTAACGCTAAACAATTCGGGCCTGCTTCACTGGAGGGATAGAAGAACTAAAAGAAAATACTGAAGGAACGTCGAAACTGTCGCATGACAGATAAATTGGGAGAGTCCAAAACAAAGGAGGCGAAAAGTAGGAATCGAAATCGGAGAGAAAAGGTTCACGTTCGTCTGTTTCCGCTTTCCGGGCGTACGGAGAGCGGGAGCGGCGGCAGGCCGGCCGTGGAGAGGAAGGGGAGAGGGAGAAGGAGAAGGAGAGGAGGGAGAAGGAAGAGGGGGAGGGGAAGAGAGTCGGGTCGCTCTGTCGCGGGAGAGCAGAAGCCGAGCCGGGCGTCGTCCCCGGGCGCGCGGGCCGAGGGGCGCAGGCGCGGGGGCCGGCGGGGGGCGGCGGGGGGGCGGTGGGGGGGCGGCGGGGGCGTCGCGGCCCCTCACACCCACGCCATCCAGCCTTCGTACATCAGGCACAGGTTCTCTGCGCTCGTAGCTTCCGTTATTATGTACTCCACCTGTGGATCGGAGGACAATTTTCGTTTATTTTAATGTGTGCAAATTTATGTTATATTCTGTGTAATTCCGTTATCTTTTCATTTCGTTACGTATCTAGTGTTAACCGTGAATAAATGTTTCCAACCTTATACGTCTGTTTCACGGTTTTATGCTGCTATCCGTAAATTCTTTCTATAACATGCAGATACAACATACAAACTAAAAAAAGAAAAATGTAATCGCCACGACCACTTTATGGTCCTTCGGACCAGATAAATCAATCAGTTATCTCTGGACAGGTCTAATTTAGTTAGCCGATGGTAGTTTTTTTTTTTGACTTTCAATAGACATTTAATTAAACCTATATTGATTAAAGAAAATTTGAACTGTGATCTTGATGGTCGGTCCGACGTCAGTAGCCAATGACACAGTCGGTAAGGTGTTTTGGGCACCGAAGTCGTTTCGGATTCGACGCAGGATAATTTCATCCCGCAGCGGGGGCGAAAAAGAAGCGCGGAGGCCGTACCTGGTCGTGGGGCGAGAGGGTGCGCCGCTGCCCCTCGCGCCCCTCCAGCTTGAGGCGCACGCGCTTCCAGACGCCCGCGCCCATCGCGTTGCGCTGCTCGCTGCCCCCTCCTGCGATTTCCGCTAACTTAGCTAGGCTTCTCTCACTCTACTCGCTCCCAATTTGTTCGAATAGGCCAAAATCAAGTAATGTTGTAAAGCAAAAGACTATTCGGGTACGTCGTCGGTTCACTCTCAAAACTTTAAAATTATAACACTCGCTTTAAACTTCAGAAAGAAATTAAGTAAGTTAAGTGAAGTAATGTGAGTTGATTGAATTTCACCTTAAGAAGTATTCGCTGGTCCTTTTAACCGGATTCCAAAGGCGAAAAAAGTGTAATTTGCAATTTTTGTCATAGAAATCTGAATATCATAACAGTAATATATAAGCTTTCAGAATACACAATAAAACGAATAAAGGTAAATTACACACCATTACATATACATTATATTTTTATCACAAAAGACACTTCACCCACCTTGCTTCGTGTTGGTGGTGGTTTGCTTCGCGGGTGGGGCGATAGCCACCTGCCGGGTCAGCTTGCGTCCACTCTGTTCCGTCCAAGTATTAGGTAGTCTGTGAAGGAGTAAAAGATTCAGGTCTAGTCTTCAATGAGTGAAATTGTTTCTTTCACTCTATAAGACTATTTAAAGCTTCATTCATCATCATCCTACATTACATACTGCATACTGATAAAAAGAGCATAGTGGAACAAAGTTGCGCTACAGCACTGGAACATGTCGGGATGTGGGAAGTTAACCCATGGAAGTGGCGGTTTCAACCAGACGTTCGCGAATTCATCCGATTGAGAGTGTCGCTTATTGTCAATATGAAGAGCATAGAGCAAAGAGAAGCAGCAGAGAACCGAACGGGGCGTGGTAACTTAACGTTCGAGGATGCCGTGTTATTGAAGAAGGAACTATTGGATCGAAGAGAAGCAGCTGTCCCAGCCGAACGTTCGCGATGTTACCGCTTGATGGCTTCGCGTTACTGAAAATACGTAGAGCACAGAGCAAAGCGGCCGTGGACTCACTGCTTGACGTAGAGCATAGAGGCAAGAGTCCGTCAACTCACCGCTCGAGGTCGTCGCGTCATCGCCAACACTTAGAGCACAGAGGCAAGAGCCCGTCAACTCAACGCTCGAGGTGGTCGCGTTATAGCCAACAGTTAGAGCACAGAGGCGAGAGGCCGTGGACTCACTGCTTGAGCGCGTCGCGCAGGGCCGGCAGCTCGGTGCGCAGCTGCGCCGCCGCGTCGGCCGCGTCTCGGCCGTGGCGCGGCTCGAGCAGGCGCGCCAGCAGCTCGTGCGCCGCCCGCCAGCGCGCCCACACGTCGCGCGCCGGCTCCTCGTCCGTGGCGGCCAGCGGCGCGCGCAGCTCGCGCTCCAGCCGGCCGCGCGCCAAGCTCGGCGCCTCCAGCCGCGAGGCGGCCGCCTTCAGCGCGAGCGCGCCCGCCGCGCAGCGCGCCCGCGCAGAGCCCGCCGCCGCCGCCAGCCCGCCGGCCAGCTCGCGCACCAGCAGCGACACCGTCTGCACCTGCACGGCGGACGCCATTTTAATCACTCTTCCTCGCAAAGGCACACGGGATAAGATTTTTAATTATCTTTCTTTCACCACGCTAAATATGTATATCCTCTAACGTGCAAACATTGCAAACGACCAGAAAGCTCGCCTGACGTCTACAAAACCCGAGCGGTTTTAAATGCGCCTTCACCCAATAAAAAAATGTTGGTCCAGATTATAACGTAACTTCAAAACTTATCGCATCTACAAATCTTAATTTCAAAATACCTAGAACTTCTACTCGTGAATAAACAAACAACAAACTTTACAGCATAACTAAATCTGCCTAGTCAAAAGTTTTATTTTATGCTGAATACATTTTTGTAGTCACCACACGTCTTGGACACACTCACTGGAAAATATAAAATAATTTTAGGCCCATGCAACTCACCCAGTGTGCGTCGATGTTTCCTTCGGGGTGCAACATTTCCATGAGCGATTCCTCCACGGGCGTCACTTGCAGTGAATACTTCTGCGCTAAAGTGCAAGCCTATCAAGATATTAACCGTGTTAGACGTGTCATCACCGAAAGTAACGTTAATCAGAAAATACAGTACATATTGAAAATTTATCATTGTTTTTTAATCGCGAAATTCAGCTTTTAATCCAACATTGATATCAAAGATAAAACAACAATAATTGACTCTCTGTCATGAATGATCCTCTCTAACATCACTCATAGTTTTAAATTGTATTCGAAAAAGGTTATTTTTTTTGTAAGTAATATGCGTACGATAAACATGCATACATTTCACGTTCAACATACGTGAAATATACGCATATTGATCGTTTACGTAAAACAACTTCATAACAGAGTTCGAATAAAATAAAATAAATAAAAAATATCAAGAATGTTATTTTGTTCGACGTATAAAATGAAACTATATATCAATTTTCGCCGTTAATAAGATAACATTGATTAATGTTTCACAACATTAAAGCTGAAATGGATTACTCTCCCAACTTCCCTCGCATAGTTATTTGCTGAGTAGTCATCAAAAACACTCCCAAGTTACCCCACCACGCCGCCGGCTAAAAATTTTAAAGTCTAGCCATCTCGTTTTGTAAAGGCCCCCCAGCTCTACAGCGGTAGACCCTGCCAATATAAAAAAAAAGAAAAGAGCGCCCAACTTCTCCCAGTGTACTATGGCGGTGTCGCCGTCAATAGCACTCCCCAACTCTCCTGCAGATCCTGCCCAAAAAGAGAAAGAAAGAAAAGAGCGCACCTTCTCCCAGTGTGCGAGCGCGGTGCGCAGCGTGCGGCGCGCGCGCGGCGCGGGCTGGGCCATTGCGGCGGCGACGCGCGCGTGCGCGGCCAGCGCGGCGCCGGCCGCGGCCAGCCGCGCGGCTCGCGCACGCGCGCGTCCCACCCGCCCTCCAGCGCGCGCACCACCGAGCGCAGCGCCGGGTTGGCGCCCGCGCCCCACTTCACCCTTTGCGCGCGTCAAAACTACATTACTTACATACTAAACAAACTACACTAATAACTAAAATACTCGTTATCATTTCTGTTTGCATCTCATTTTTTTTTAAACATTGCCCTTACTTTAGGATAACAGTATCCTGTGTTGTAAGGACGTTTTACAAACATAAATTGCACGAGGACAAACGCCCAGATGCGAAACAACTATCTGTGGGTCACACAAATAGATGTCCCGTGAGAGAATCGAACCCACGACCCCCGACGCCGAAGCCAATACCTTAGCAGCTGCACCATGGAGTCATCGAAATCTTTTTGTAAAAAGAAACTGTCGTCTAAATTCGGTTTCGTAATGTTTTTGTTATCTTTAGATATTTACGATCGGCCCTCTGCATGAGACGTGTCCAGCGGTGGGACGGACTCCCTTACCTCTGGTGCGCGGAGGCCACGAGGGGCTGAGCTCTGGAGGCGGCCGCCGCCAGGCGCTCCGCCGCCGCGGCCAACTCCCTGCCGCGCCTCGCCAACGCCCCTCCCGCCCCTCCCCCTATCCCGCCCAAGGCGGAACCCTCCGGCCCGCTCTTCAGCACCTGCCATGACACCACCTCACTTCAACTTAAGCTATCGTGATAGAGTTCTGTCATTATAAGCGCGTCGCGATATAACAACTAGATAGGTTTCAATTGATTCTCCTAGGTTCTAGCAAGCGCCCCCTCAGCCTCTCCCCCTATCGCGCCCACGGCGGAACCCTCCGGCCCACTCTTCAGCGCCTCTCGCGAGACCACCGCACTTTAACTTAAGCTATCTTCTATAAATATTAGAGGTCTGCCGCTTAAGACGGAATAACTACTGGATCGGTTTCAAATAATTCTCTAGGTTCTATTTCTTTAACACTTGGCCCTTGTCTATAAGAAGAGGTATCGTCATATCTCCGTAAATGTAAAGCTATTAAAGCTTTTAGAAACAACGAGCTTTAAAAGTTCGGTGATGTGTGTTTGCTTTCCGTGCTAGATAAAGTACATTAAGCTGTTAAGCAACATAGATAAAGTAGCGGGTATCGGCCAGTACGCGAGTATAAAACGAGAAACTAGCCCTGGGGACGCAGCAAGCAAATAAATAGACGAGACTGGCCACAAGTATGGACCTGGAAGTGTGCACTCATCCCGGCGGCCAGAAAGCCATAGCTAGTGGCCCGCAAAGTAGTAGGCCTGGGGGCAACGGACCCCAGCATGCAATCACGCATGAGAATCCTCTGGCAAGTGAAAGGCCTTAAGATCCGTACCTACATTTTATCTGTGGTAGGGCCACGCAACAGTCTACGCTGTTACAAGAATCGGTAGGCCCGTCCAGGGAAGGATCACAACCTCACATAAGACCGACGTGAATTAGTAATGTTCTACTTCTGCGTTTCTTTGGTGAGTTAGGTAGACGTGGTTTACTTAATTAAAAGGTGGCAAAGACTTGCAACCATACGGCTGATACAATGGTCCATGGGCGGCGGCTATCACTTAACATCAGGCGACCGAAATAGGAAAAATTTCGGCTTGTTAAAAGATAGCATCACCACTAAAAAGGTTGAGTTCTTGTGTTAATAAAACCGGTCAAGTGTAAATTAGCCTCGCGCACGAAGGGTTTTGTACCATTATCAGTAAAAGAAGGCAAAAAAAATCGTGTCTATTTTATGGGAGCTTCACTTAAATATTTTTTTTATTCTGCTGTTTAGTATTTGTTTTTATAGCAGCGACAGTAATACATAATCTGTGAAAATTTCAACTGTCTAACCATCACGGTACATGAGATACAGCCTGGCGACAGACGGACAGAGAGACAGACAGCGGAGTCTCAGTAATACCCTTTGGGTACAGGGACCTGATAAAAGGGTGACGGAACACACCAGGGTTTCATAGATCGAAGGCCGGCACTCACCTCGGCGTGCAGGTGCGCGTGGGCAGCGGCCCGCAGCCGGGCGGCCCTGGCCGCCGCGCGCGCCCTCTGCACGCGCCTCTGCGCGATGTGCGCGCGCTCGAGGCGGGCGCACGCGGCCTGCAGCGCCCCCGCCAGCCCCTCGGCCCGCTCGGCCCGCTCGCCCCCCGCGCCCTTCTCGCCCCCCGCGCCCCCCTCGCCCCGCGCCACCTTCTCGCACAGCGACTCCAAAGAGACGCTCCACGAGGCGCCTAAGCACAGAACACCCACACTTCGAATCGACAACGGTTTAGTGTCGAAATACTAGTTTTCGTACATCATATGTCTGGATTGTCGACCAACGTAGAAATTGAATGCTTAGAATACACGAGGTCATTTCAATATGTTCACAACGGTCTTTTTAAACGCGACGGTTAAGGTTTGTTGTGAAGTTTTAATAGTCGTATTGGTGCTGTTGATGAATGTACTTGATATTAAATGAAACTAGTTTACGGATTTTATCGCGATTTTTATTTTTTATTTATAAAAACTAGTTTCATTTAATATGTATAATATTCGCATAAAATCAATTTACTGATGTTCAAATCAAGTCGAAAACTTATTTGGTATAAACCACAAAAAATTTAGTAACAAAAAAATAAGAAACGGTAACACATATTTTAAAAGTCATGTACCCAGGATTTATAATTTCGAATTTTCACCATTCCCTAGGCTTTGGGCTCTGATGAGAGGCCAGCGTTTCTCAAAGTAAAATAGATTTACCCACGCCGATATCGTATAAAGGTGAAGCATCGTATATGGTACCAGGTCTCCAAAACATGATATGTAAATTAGATTAAAAGAGTTAAGATTCATGACAATCTATGGAGGAGGCCTATGTTCAGCAGTGGACTCAAATGGACTGAAATGATGATGAGATTACAACATCATGATTTGTGGGGAAGCGGTTGGAAAGAGTCCCGACGGCCACTGCGACCTAGAAGCTCTATCGCAGTCTAACACTGGCAATACGCACCAATCTCCTTCTGCTCCACTTCTACCCAAACGACCACTGTTACCTGGAAGCTCTGTCGGAATCTAGCACTGGCAATACGCACCAATCTCCTTCTGCTCCACTTCGGCGTTGAGGTCCAGGCGGGCCCGCCGCAGCAGCAGGCAGAGCACCGACGCCAGCGCCTTCGAGTGCACGCCGAGGACGCAACGGGACACGTACTCCGCAGTGAACCTTTTTTTCGACAAAGATGCAAACGAGCTGGTAGTTCACCTGACGTTAAGTCATAACCGCCGCCTATAGACATTTGCAATGCCCGTACGGTTGCAGATGCGTTGCCGCCAGTTAATAACACTCTATTACAGCCCCGGCTACCTCGCTCACCAACGAGAAGTCTGGTGAGTGAGGTAGCCGGGGCCACCGGTGCCCATTCATGCAAGAGCGAACAATGCGTGGCCCTATCCGGCGTTGGTGGGACGGCTCCCGTCGGCCGAGGAAGGTTTTCGCGTCAGTTAGCGAAACTTCTCATAGTCTTCGGGCTGTTACAACTCGGAGGAAGCTATATGAAATTCAGAAGTTCCTATTTCTCTTTGAGGTATTACAGCTCAGGGGAAGGCCTTCAGAAAGCGATATGTCTCAGACGCCTCGAACTTACTGCCATAACGCTGATAAAACCTGTAACGTTTTAGTTAGGATTGTGTAGTTAATGATGGGAGATTTAATAAAAGATTTATTAGCGGTTAAGAATTTGTATTTAGCCCTTCATTTTAAAGTTAAAATCCCTGGACTAGCTCAGATACAATATATTTTGTAATATAATAGTAATAATAAGTTGGGCGCCTTGTCTGTTAGGAACAGACTGTTGTAATAATCACAATTAAATATCTCAGGGAGTCGTGAGTACATAGGACCTACACATTACTTTGTGCGACCATTAAAAGGTTAGATAATTAAATTAATTTAAGATTATGAAAGTTATGCAATTCAATTTTAAAAATAAAGTCCAATCAGGTAGTTATTTTAAATCTATGTCACCGCAGAGACATCTGCCCTGTGTGCACAGGTCAGCGTTGAGCTCAGAACCAGTAGAGAAAGTCAGGCCAAATGTAGTGTGTACAGCCACACTGTTGGGGGTATATAGGAGACCTCCAACTGGAGGTAAAAAACAATATTTAATGGAGCAGCAGCTCAGACCAGCTTGCCAGCCACCTATGCCTTCAGCATCCACCAAGAGGGATAACAAATCCAGCACTGAGTTTCCCAGACAGCAATCACAAATAATACGACCAGGAACGTGTTCTGATTCAACCTCTAGCCATGCACAGTCGAAGATAATGGATCCACAAAAACTAATTTATCCAATGTCAATTCGATCCGGCGGCAATCTCAAATCAAGTACCAACAAATGAACTTAACTTTTTGATTTGACCTTTCGAAAAGACAAAGGTTCATATGACATGCAGCCTAGTCTTTAGAAAAACAACAATTTCGACAAAGTGATGAAATCACACGTTACAAACCCTGATATAACATTTCTTAATTTTGTTCAGTCCCAACGATCTTGGTTGTCTTTCAAAAACAGATTTTTAAGCACATTAAAAACAGTAGAGTAGAATGTCAGGAAATTCTATTCTATTTGTGATAACGTTTGATTATCAAATACAATAATACGTTCACATTACCATAAATCGCAGTGCCTGAAAACATGCTGTGTATGAGTTATATATAATATCAACACATATTGAATTATAACGTATACAATTAAATTAGTAACCACTATGTTATACAACTAAATGTTTTGTACATTTCTTTACGATTTAATGTTGTAATGTTAAATCACTACTATAAATCCTTTTTGATTAAATTCGTTTTTTTGTCCAACTTGCGCTCCTAATCATGATGAATTTCAAACACAATGGCGGTTGAAATTCCGATCCTTTAACAGCATAAATAAAAAGAAGAAGGAATTTATTACGGACAAGGTTGGCACAGGCACTTTCATGACATCGTAATAATATTGGAAATTCCAGTGTCTACGGCAGTATTTGCTCCTTTCAGCAAAATGTGGCGTAACCGAGACATCATTTATCGTAAGGAGATTAGTAAAGTAACAGCCTATATATGTCCCACTGCTGGGCAAACGACTCTTCTGTACAGATAGTATCACGACATAGTCCACCACGCGGCCCCACTGCGGATTGGTATATATTTTTGTTATTATTTCGAAAATATGCAGGTCTCCTCACGATGTTTTTCTTCACCGCTGAGCACGTGATAAGTAAGCACTTAAAATTAACAATTTCTTTAGTGCCGGCACCGGAGATCGAACTCAGGTTGCTCGAGTATATTGAATTAAAGGCGAGGGCCCGGACTCTGAGCTATCGCGGCGTCAAAAGCGTAAACATAAATAAATATGTTTAAACCTCTGAACAAAATTTATAAGCGTCGACTCTAGCTACAACCTCCAATAGAACTCGTTGATGCGCTCGCCTTTAATTCAATATACGAATTAAAGGCGAACGCCCGAATCAGCTATCAGGACTTAGGAGGTCGGGGGGAGATTAGACACTGTCCTATTCAAGTTAGGAAAAGAAAGTTAGGCAAATGGCAGAAAACCAGGGGGGTCCCCACCTGCGTACTGGTCGGCACAGCTGGGCGTCGTCATAGAGCACGGGCGGCACTACCCCTCTGAAGGCGGCGGCGAGCTGGGCGCACGCTCCGAGCGCCTCCCCCACCGTCTGGACGCGGCGCACCACGAAAATGTCCTCTAGCACGGATCGCAAAGCGGGACTCTGCATGGCCGCCTATCAAAAGGTTTCCATCATCATCATCATCATCATCACCGTCGTCGTATTCCCTTTACCGGAATCGCAACGTGAAATTAGACGACACCTGCACACCTTACAACGTTGTCACCATCTCCCCACCCTTAACCCACACAGGTGGTGTCTACTCGTGAATCATGTTGTAAGCGGTTTTGGCTAGGTTTTTAACAACCGGCCACCTGCCCGAAGTCAAACCTCCTTGGGAAACAGACCCAGTTCCTGAACAATTATCTGCGGGCCAGACAAATACTTGTGCCGTGTGGGAATCGAACCCACGACTAGCAACGGCGCCACCGAGTAGTCACCCCTTACAACTAATCCAAGAAATATTAATTATACAACGCGTGAGACCTCAGCTGTTCATAAATAGCGTCTGAGGCGTTCATCTACAACGCGCACCACACCCAACACTATCAAATTCGATTGCTTTGTGTTAAGTGTAAGCGTCATATCTTTCTACTTTATATATTCTCCCTCATGTAACAATATGTGCCTAAACGTGATGAATCCTTGAAATTTCACTCACAATCATCATCGACATTATAGAAAAATTTCAAGATTCGATACGAGAAGTCAGTCAGGCGCAGTATGGTAATATTAGAAATCAATCTTAATAAAACAACATTGAACAAGAAAGTTGGGATAGTTTTCTTTTTAAATTTTCTGTGCCCATCAAAATATTCGTTAAGATAAACAGTGGCAAGTCTTTTATAACAAGTCCTTTGTCTAGTATTAATTTGTATAAAACTATTATCCATTACGTTATCGGACCAAACTACTCACACTAACATTATTTTCTACGTTATTATAAATAAAGTGTTATGTTAAAATTTGTAGAAAAAGTACGAAAAGATTGTCGCCGCTGTGGGAATGTTGAATGTCGTTATGTTGTCTAGCGTTAATGTATTTCCATCCAGTTATGTCTAGTGATAACGCATAAAAAAGTAAAGTAACAGCCTATAAATGTCCCACCGCTGGGCAAAGGCCTCCTCTGTAAAGAGGGTATCAGGGCATAGTCCAACATGCGACCCCACTGCGGTCTTGCGGACTTCACATATTTTCGAAATATTTTTTTATTATTACTTCGAAAATATGCAGGTTTCCTCACGATGTTTTCCTTCACCGCCGAGCACGTGTTAATTCAGCACTTAAAATTAGCAATTTCATTGGTGTTGGCACCGGGGATCGAACTCTGGTTGCTCGAGTAAATGTAATTAAAGGCGAGCGCCCGGACACTGAGCTATCAATGCTCTGCATGCATTTACATCCATTAATTCACCTACCGACATATGCATCGCGTCGTTGATGTGGTCGATCTTCCGCCACGCGGGCGGAATGGGGGCGGCCAGGTGGTCGGCCAGCTCCCTCGCCCTCAGCTCGACGGCGGCGAAGAGCCCGTTGAAGCCCATCAGCAGCATCCGCCCCGCGGACTGGACCTCCGTGTCCGGTGCGGCCGAGAGCAGCGCCTCGTAGCGCGCCCTCAGCTCCGACGCGAGAACCTGCGCCCCGCCTGCCGGCGACTGAGAATGGCGGGTGGAGTGAGAAGACCAAAAGTGGTATCCGTGTGAGATGGTGTCAAGCGAACTGGTGTCAAACAACCTGACGTTAAGTAATAATCGCAGATGCGTTGCCACCTTTTAAATAAGCGGACCCCGGCTGCCTCAATCACCAGACGAAACGCAGAAGTATAACGCTCCCATTTCACGCCGGTCTTCTGTGAGGTCGCGGTACTTACCCCGACGGACCTGCCCACTCGTGCTACGACGTAGACTGTTGCGCAGCCGTAGCACACTAAAATATAAATAGATGTTATGCACAGATATTCGCTTACCTCCATATCCATCACTAGGTATCTGAAGTGCATTTCAAGCTGAGCTAGGAGGTCGTTCAGCGGCACCGGGGAGTTCATGATGACGGAGTTCAGCTCGGAGATCATGAACAGCACCGACGGGTCCTCCGAGTGGATCTTCTTCAACGCTTCGGGCAAGATAATTGTGCTGAAGTTATAATTCAGCTGCACCAGGTCTGCCAATAGGAGATTTGCGTTACGCACGCACTCGACGGCCACTGACATCGCGGCGTCCTCAGCGGACGCGGACTGCAGCGGTAGCAGGGAGAGCAGCTCCACCGCTTGTATCGAAAGCGTATTCATGTCGTCGAGGAACCACTCTCCCTCCCGCGACGTCAGATCGACTAGACAATCGCCCGCACTCTGGGCGCCGTTCTCCAACATCAGATATCGTCTGTTCAAGTTACACAGCATTCCGATCACGACCCCTTCGAGCGCCGCCGCGGACCCCTCTTCAGTTCGGACCCAATTGCTGATGTTGGCTTTCGCTTCCCTGTAGGCTTCCTCGGCCAACGTCACGGCGTCAGGACCGCCCTCCAACTGCAACCTTTCCAAGCACTTGTTCAGCACAACATTGGCTTCAGCGTTCACCTGCTGCAGGCGATAGTTGTACGCGATTATTTGCTGAGCATCGCCCACGTTGGAATCGGCGTTGACCAACGCCGTCACTTGGCCCGAGACGTCGCGGCAGACCTCGGGCAGTTTGCTCTCGAGTGCCGTAGCTAAGTACTTGCGGAACATCGCCACGCGGTGGTACTCCGTCCGACTCTGCGGGTAGTATTGCGAGACGGCGGCGTATTGCGATAGGAGCTCTAGACAGGATCTAACCAAGAGGTTCGTCTGCTGCATGCTCTGGTTCAGCTCGGCCTCGGCTTGTTCGCATTGCGATATCATCGAGCTTTGTCCGGCGTTCGTCATGAACTCTTTTATATGTTCGAATATAGACTTGTCATCGTCTTCGTTGGGCCCGGAGAACTCCTGCACCCATGCCATCAGTTGCGGCCCGTTCAGGACCTCGTTTGTCTTGGCAAAAGTTTCTATTTGAGTGTCAAAATCGTTTAGTATTTTTATGAGTGCCTTCATCGAGTCTTCAACGGCGTTCTTCGCTTGTTTGTACGAAGCATATTTCTGAGATATTGCGTACAGTGGATGACTATGAAGATTAGGACCGTAAGCTTCGATCTCCTTAATTAAGGCCATCTGCTGGTGGCACTCATGTAGCTTGGTTTCTACTGATTTCAATTCATTGTTTTCCTCGATACATTTTTCAGCAGCTTGCTGCACTTCTGGTAGAATCGTCATAAATTGCTCTCTGAAATGGAACAGGAAATTAAACATAATAAATATAATTATATAAAAGCCGAAACAATTATCTCTTTATCACACAAATAGTTATCGCCCCTCCCCCTCCGACATCCGGCACCTAAGCCAATAAATACCTTGGCAACTTCGCCAAGGAGTCAAAAAGTTCAATTCGACTTCAATAAAATTAAGAATCAAACTGAGCGTACATTAAATAGAAAAAAGTTACAACAGCGAAAGTTGTAAACGTTTATCACGAAGTTGTCACATACATTATCTGCCAAATATTCCTTGTTTGTTATACGGTTATCGCCAGTTGTAAAACTACGTCACAACCCAAAAATGCAGAAAGATACTTTATACGTTTTCTATATCATCGCGTGGCTATTGTCTAACCGCGCTGACGTAAAGACTTTTATACTTGGAAATGAATAAAATATAAAACTCTAGAAAGAAGAGCTCGTTAGAAACGCGATCGTAAATAAGTGGAAACATGAAGCGACGTCTAGACGAGCTATTGACGATTTGTATGTACAATGAATGAATAAATTCAGACCTTTATATAGACTATAATTTGCCAAGTCACTAGGGCTCATCCATAAAATCGGGAATCAAACCGTCTATTCGGAGGGAATGCCGACATGCTGACTTGGATGTCGCAGTTACAAAATTATTTGTTTCGGAGACGAAGGTTGTCATCAATTCTTCCTTTAGGGATACCGTGAAACACGACTTCGGAATAAGAGGGGGGGGGGGGGGGGAGAGGAAAGAGAGACACGTGGGTGTCGGTACTCACGTGATCTCGTCGATGGAATGCTCGAGCTCGCGCACCCGGACGGCGAGCATGGCTCGTGCGGCGCGCACGTGCCTGGTGCCCCTCCGCTTCTTGCCGCCGCCCCACTCCACCAGCGGGTCGTAGACGAACGCCTCCAGGAGGGTGAGGAGGGTCTCGCGGCCGCGGCGCATGGTGCGCAGCACGTGCTCGCACGCCAAACGGAATATGCCCTGCAGGTGTTTGTCGAACAAGTCTATTTAACCGACTTCAAAAAGAGGAGGTTCTCAATTCGACTGTATTTTTTTTAATGTTTTTCACCTCTGGATAAGATCTGATACCAATGAAATTAGTATGGGACCACATGGGAAGCACAGGCTTTCAAATAAATAAACAATCAAAAAAATCAGTTCACCCCTTCGAAAGTTATGAGGTAACAAACATAAAAAATACAGTCGAATTGAGAACTCCTTTTTCGAAGTCGGTTAAAAGAAGCAAAATAAGTTCATCGCAGAAATACTGAACAGTGGGCAGTTAATAATTGATTAAGTTTATGCGAGCACTAAACATTTAAATAAAAATACTTTATGCGGGGATAAAAATATATATTTTTATTCGTATCCTATTCGCAAAAAAATGGTTTTACACGATGATGCTTTTATAAAGATGACACAAGCCCACACTGTGCGGCGTTTTAAAATTGTTCCGCTCTACATTATTATGACATTTATTGAAGTGAGTGTGACAGATGATATAGAACGTATGATACGGAAAGAGATAGCAGTTTATAGAGTTGGAATCTAATTAATTACACAGATTGCCGTAATTTAAGTGCCTCAGTTTCGTGTCATATATACCTCAAATTTGTATAACATCGGTTTTACAATGAAAATTAACATCAAAAATAATAGTTTTAATAAAACGCTAACCTTTATTCGTTGAGAAAATAAATCACTATAATACAAACGAAGAGCGATAAGGAAAATCTCATTTAACTGTAAACAAGTTGTTGACATAAACTATAATAAAATAATCAAATTTTCTTTGCTACTATGCTTGTTATTACTTTAATGATCAGTATGAATTAGTAAAACGTCGCGTTGAGAAAAGGCGAATGATTGATCTATTCAGAAGCCCTCATTAAAGAGCAATCTCCTTGATCAAAGTGCGGTATTTCTGGAGTGAGGCCCTTCATTTATGTACACATATTGTGTGTCACTTTGTACAAGATAATACTTATCAAAGCTTTCAGCCAGTAAATTAAGAAAACTATATACTTGAAATAACAAAATTGCTTCTATGTACGCGACTTATATACTGGGAATAAAACAGTTTGTACTAATTTCATTCGTAATTCATTTGGACGATAAGGTGAAATTTTCGTTAGGAAATTATGAAAATAAATCCATTGTTTTATATTTAAAACATTCGTTATGATAATAAACATCATTCTGTCATCAATATTAGTCCACAGAATATCAATCGATAAGCGAGTAAGCTGACTTATTCTGTTCTTTTACAAATATAAATATAAACTACCCAAACAAACCGAAACAAAAATAATCTATCGTAACACAACATAAAACACAAACATCCTTAAAAACAACATCGTACCATATTTTTACGGTCAATATTTATCATTTCAAAATCGGTGAAAAGAATTGTATTGTTAGGTAACCAAAGGAAAGCGCAACGTGTTCTATATCCTACGTGCGCCCTATTTACTGAGCAAATAACATTTGCATATTCGTGGAGCGATCAAAGGAACGAACAATAAGACGTACGGTGTAACGAAGACAAGCTTAGCGAAACAATATGGATAGACTCACATTAAGAATCTCTGTAACAGTGTATTTAAACGTTTCACATTCTCGGCGTCGATATAAAGACAATATTTTTTTTATTTTCTGAGAAGGTGGCGGCAGGCGAGCCGGCAGTTCACCTGATGCTTAGTGATAACCGCCGCCCATACACATTTGCAACATAAATCGCCCGTACACAAAAAGGGTACCCCAGCCACCTCACAAAACAGACGGAAAGCAGAAGTGTGCCTGATCTCGTGCAACAGCTGTTGCGTGAGATCAGTGTAAAACAGAAATATTTTAGAACAAAATGAGCCGTCACGGGACGTCTGGCAGATGTGAAACATCGACATTATTTTGTAAAAGTAATATGCAGAAAAGAACAGATTGTGATAGGAACTAAATATGTCATAATGATAAAATAAAATATTACGATTTTTTTTTCCAGATAACGATGACTATTTATTGAATAGACATTTATTTTCATTAAATACAAAACTTTACGAATTTATTTCAAATCGTGACTACTTAATTCGTTTAATCAGTGACTTCGGTAATAGTACACACAATTAATTAAAGTTAATGTAATTAATTAATAAGTAATTATTAACAATTAATTTAAATTTGAGTAATTAATCGTACACACTACTGCATATAGACTGTATATATATATATACCATCATATAGCGTGGCGACGCGTTGCCACGCCAGAAATCGGTTTACGTGCGGCTATAGATGTTTCACATCAAAAAAAATTCGAGTGGAAACATAATACTAATGATGGGATGAAAATAGTACAAAATAACGTTTTATGTTAAGCCACTGTCATCGAAATAAATTGTATATAGTGAAGGAATTATGAGACGACAATTTATTAATCAGCATCATCAACATTTCAGTTTGTTAAAGTTCTTTGCTGAAGATAGGCCTCTCGCACATTAGTAGTCACGCTATCTAGTGGTGAGTCATTCTACACTGCGATGGCCCGTACCAGGATGCCACTCGAAAACCTTTCTTCCACATCGGTTCTACGAGCTACATTGCCATTTAAGCTCGGTTTATATTTGTTCTACTTTGATCTGATAATACATAAAAAAACAAAATACAAACATAGAGCGGGGAATGACATGCAATTTAACAAATATGCGTTTATTTGCTCATCGTCGATGAGCAGGGGTTGCGCTCGAACACCTATCAGAGAAGTATTGGCCTAGATTTTAGACAAAGTGTTTCGAATTGTGCTGTACCACATTTTGAAATATTCCTTTTTACTACGGTGGTTACTACCATCAAAAAATCAAAATTTGAAATAACATTTAATGACAATTTATTAAATGGTATCTATCATGGAAGTATAAACATAATTAAGAAATATACTCAAAAGGAAATGTCTTAAATTTTTATGTTAGTAAACTTGTCTGAAATCATTTGATTAAAAAAAAAAGTTGCGCTCTTATTTCAAATACCTGTAGTAACATCAATTATTCCTGAAATAAACAATAAATCAGTTTGATATATCACTAGAGTAATGATTAAAAAAATCTATAACCTTAAAATTTACAACTAATTTTTTTCCTAGAATAAAAGCTACGCCGTAGCGGCATACCTGTCAGGTAGACTTTGTGAAAATTAAAGTGAATAAGGTAACCCACTTGTAAACCTCAGAACGTAAAGTGGCGAATCGTATTACATTCCACGCTCTGAAAGGTACGTTACCCTACTATAAAAGCTTCGCAGCCGTGAATTTGGTACTACGGGCACGTATAATCTACACGTACAAATATGTAAAATGTAAATTACCGTCTGAAAGCGTGACGTCATAAAACATTTCAAGAGTTAAAACCAAAACTGCTGCTCCGCTATCGATCGGCATGTCACGATAAGCTAGAAATTTTACGGTGCAACTCTTTGTTTGCTGTTATAAAATTTACACCCTCATTTCACTTAACACGAATAATTTTTTTTTAAATATTTTTTTTTATCGTACTTATTTACTTAAGAAGGAATTCAAAAATTTTGTAGTAAAATGGACGAGTTTTTAGCCGCTGCGAAAACCTTTTACGGTGGTAGGGCCACGCAGCAGCCTCGGCTGTTGCACGAATGGGCAGGCCGGTCCGGGTAAGTACCACGACCTCGCAGAAGACCAGCGTAAAGTGGAAGTATGACAAATACTTTCGCATTTCGTCTGGTGAGTGAGGTAGCCGGAGCCCAATTTTCAAAAGGTAGTCGTCGCCTCTATAACCCTCAGGTGTAGCAGTTGTCCATGGGCGGCGGTATTCACTTACCATCAGGTGAACCGTCTGCTCGATTGGCAACTTTTCACATAAAAAAAAAACTTGAGGCTGCGCCCGGCGGGATACGCGCTCGACGCTCTAGTCACAGAGCTAAACGGCTTATCTTCACTCCGACGAAAATCTCAATGTATCTTATCTACTTTGTTCTTTATACGTCTCACTGCTGAACAAAGCGCTCCAGTATACAGATTGGCGGACTTCACATATCTTCGTAATATCGTTTCATCGTCATTTCGAAAAAATCGGAGGTTTCCTCACGTTGTTTTCCTTCACCGGTCTTCACACGTGATAAGTTAACACTTAAAATGAACAATTGCACGACACCGGAGATTTAAGCTAATGCTAAATACGCATAAATGGACCCAACAAAATAATTTTCAAAAGCGTTAAAACTCCGTTGTTTTAGTTCCATTGTTCAGCGGAGGTTCCGATGTTTACCTTTGTCGGCTTTTATTTATGCGGCGATGTTGAAATTCAATAGTTTAGTTTGATCGAACAGTGCATTTTGCCGTCATATTTAACCTGAATCGAGCTCTCATATTAGGGGAGCGGTAGCCGGAGGGGAACGGACTCGAGTTGATTGACAATTAGCAAACCAGTCAGCCGAGCACTCGCGGCGGAGCTATCCAAGCATTCTTGACTGTACTGACTACCTAGATCATTATTAGAAACCATTATTAATAGACAATATTTATGGCATCTAAATAGTTATCTTAGTTGTACAAGAAGTAAATGGATCGCTCCATAGACACATACCGAGATAGAAGAAATATAATTTCGAACCGAGAATTAGTATGTAAAGCGGACTACGTTTTATCAAAAATTATTTGATGTGTTTTCTTTATTTGATTAAACAGAATGATGTAGTAAAGAATGATTGAGCAATGAGTCCCTTCAAATAAATTTATTTATTTATTTATTATGGATTACCAACAAAATCATAAACACAAATTTTATGGCAACAAGTTTCACGTAACCTCAAGGTATCACAATAGTATTTGTCTTACTCATGGCATAATCGTATTTAGCTTATCTAGAACAGAAAGTTTAACCTGTTTATGTGTATAACCATGATAACAATTAAATCATGTTTATTTTTGTTTGTTCAGCGAGTTTAGTCAGCAACAGAGAGCGGTCGTATGTCGACAATGAGCAAAATTCAACGGTACACGATCAGCGGGAGTCCCTGATAGCAATGGGGCGATGGCAATTTTCCATACATTATGCATGTACACGTGTGTGTTTTCGTGTAAAAGTGTATTGATCCCCGTTATCGTGTTATGTCGCGACGATCGGTGGGGCCGACCGTACTTCACCGTTTAGTCGGCCGCACGCCAGTGCATAAATACATTTCTAAATCGGGAATTAGTACTGTACTAATTTTTTGTTGATGTCAAAAGTCTGTCAAAAACTGTGCTAGGGCCACGCAACAGTGTTCAATGTTGCACGAATTGGCAGGTCCGTCCGGGTAAGTACCACGACCTCACAGAAGACCGCCGTAAAGTAGAAGCGCTACACTTCTGCGTTTCGCCTTGTGAGTGAGGTAGCCGGGGCCCACTTTATTTAAAGGTGGCAACGCAGTTGAAACATTACTAGTGTTGCAAATGACCATGGGTGGCGATTATCACTTAACATCAGGTGAACCACCAGCTCGTTTGTCACTTTTTCACATAGAAAAGTCTAGTTAGTCGAAATGAGACAAATGACTGATTTGGTAAATTTCACATCATATTATAAAATGTGACACAATTTTAAAACGGCTTACATGAACATTTTGTT